CGTTCGTATGTCTGTACGTGCTACGATCGTCTCTTCTGCTGCCGCGCGCTCTCCTCTGCTCTAGTAGGCTATTTTATGATCTCTATGGGTATGTTGTACCTGTGGGGCCTGTATCACATGCATGACCCATAGTGTGACTAGCTCTATGAGCATGCTCTCCCCTAGTCGTCCTAACTATATTATTCAAAATTCCCCAACAATGAAATAACTTATCTCGAAGGTGCGTCATCGTGCGACCGGAGGCGCCTTCATCAGCAATGTGGGCCTAACTTCGTTTGTCTAGACTTGAAGTAATTCTGTTCACTTTTTATGGTTAAATTGCTGCATTATACTTCTTATTTTACTATATTGTTTGATGTGAACATACACTCATGACGCATACATAGCCCATAGCAAGCAATTAATGTTATGAACACTAATATCAAATCGTCCAGGTTTTTTTTGATTTTTAACTAGATTAGAAACAATTTTATCAGGTAAGAATTTGACGATACGTTTAGTCCTGTTAGTTCTTACTTTTAATGTAAAAAAATGGCAACAAAAATTTTACAAATTTTACCATAGAAAATTCGTGACGTAGTCAATTTAAGTGCAGTTAAAGTTAAACATTAATGTTGGGAACACTCCTAATGGAGTATCACCCAACCATACCTACTGCTGTTCATGTGTGCACTGTACACCCATCAATAATAGCGGCTGCTATGTAAGGTCGCGTGTAATTAGGAAATGGCCGTCTTAGTTTATTTTCATCTTAGCTGCTCCAATTCTCGTAAACGTTCAGTGTTTCTCTTGATAATACCAGACATATTCGACATAACATATCATGCATATATGGGCACAACATGTGTGGTAGTAAACGAATTTTCCCAAAGGTTTTACAAGTTTTTTTCCATAATGAACAGAGCTCTGATGAATATTTTTGTGCAATTTACTGGTAATTTGTCATTTAAACATGCAAAGCAATTTAATATGTTGACTCTACTTTCAGTAGTTATTGTATTTGTAAAAATTTTAGGTGTGCATGCAATCAAGTCAGGAGTACATAAATAGAAAATATAGAATGTATAATAGAATCTGTCTATGTATTCCTGATCAAATGATACCTTGTAATCTTCTGTAGTGTACGTAAGAAATGTCTGAACATCTCTAATAATTCAGTAATGTTTAAATGATGAACTAAAAAATACATCCTAAGTTGGGCATGCATGAGTTAATTGGTTGACGCATCTCGGTATGTAGCTCAAGCAACATCATGATCATATTGCAAGAAAACAAATTGTTTGTTTAGTGCAACTACTGTTATTGTTTCAGTGCCAAATGTGTACCTGTTTACCTGGCAGGGAGTAGGTGTGAAATCGGAGTGGCAAGCGCTTTGACTCAAAGGTATAATTAGATGTGTGGTACTATGCTCAGTTCCAGCCTTCCTTCGGAGATATTAAATGCAGTTTAGATAGTGATTCATTTGAAAAATCATTTTGATATTTGATAGATAAATTTTAACTGTATACACGTCTGCTGTGTATGCTATGGTAAACAAAAATAAGAGTAAACAAAATAAAAGTCAAATATTCACTGGTTAAGTTTGTGTACTTGTACCTATCAAGGTTTACCTAAAACAGTGGGTACAAGTAAGTAAATTTTATGTATAATGAACATACAATCATTTCAAATGTATTATAATCTAGAATTGAGGGTTAAATGGTTTGATTGTATTATTTTTATGCATGGAAGTATAATTTATCAGTGTGGTTTTCGACATTTCAGGGCCTGCGATAAATTAAGATGCACCGATTGTGACTTTAAATGTGTCATGTACAACGACTACAAGTGGAGAGATGACATTGACTACTTGTTCTTGAGAAACAATGTGCCTGATTTTGCAAAGCTCAAGGAAAAGCTTTTAGTCAGAAAAGGTATAAATACGATCACAGGGTTTATGTGGAGTTATTTTGAAGTGTTATTTTCAAGGTCCTGGAGTCTAGACTATGGTCCTGGAAAGTACTGGAAAATACTTATTGTGTTTGGTCCTAGAAAGTAATTGAAATTTAGTTCATGTCAATCTTGTCCAAGAGAAAATAAAACTTGCTTCATGAACGAGTTTTCCTGCTATCCCTCGCCACCTAATTTTGTTTAGGGAGTCTTGGGTATATGTTAATGCAATACTGCATTTTGTCATCATCGTACTGTGGATATCTTGCTTTGGCCAGTGTTGATGAGGCAATTACCGTTGTATTGCAGGCTTCAGGGCCTATGCATGCCAGTGCAAGTGGAGGTCAGTAAATCAGGTGGTGGACATACGCGATGACCCCGACATCAAGTGGGTGTGTGGTAAACACTAAACATCCAGCCGCCAGTATCACACCATTGTGCAATTTATTCAAGGCAAGTATGCGCCAATAAAAAGCAGTTGGAATTTGTCCCATGTGAATGCTATTGTTGTGCATCCACTTTTGCCCACATCCTATTCCGAGAGATGGATGGTGGTGGTGGGTGGCTATTGCAGCAGTCACTAGTAAGGCAGGCATAAAATCAGCTGTGAAGGTTCATTCCCTCCTTGATCTATGAATTTTAGAAAATGTTAACCAACTCACTATTTATATATATAGGTCACTGGCAGCCGCTTACACTTAAACTTTTCACTGAAAATTATTTTTAAAGAGAGTAGCATCAAACAATGAGTTTTAGGATGAGGTATCGCAGGTGGTTTTAAAGATTATTTGCCTACTAATGTCGCTGATAGTTTTGCATGTTACAGTGCATGCTATAGGTTTTATTATTTACATTTGGCTCTAATCTGCTGTTAATTAATGCATCTACATTAGATATTATATTACAGTATTACTTGTGCTTTTTCCATATATTGCATAGTAACAAAAACACAAATGTTCGTAATTTGATAAAACTCAACTGATATTTGGAACAGTCTCTTTCTTTTTGAAAGCATGCATTGCAGTGCTTGTAACTGTAGCTACTGAATCAGCATAGGGGGGATATAAAGTATTAACACTATATTGAATTAGTTTCTTTTACTTCATGTCTGAAATTATACCTCATGACCCATGTGGACCATGTATTCACGTGTGCTAGTTATTTGCCTGTAATTGTATGTTTGAAAATTTTATATTATGTGGATGTAATATGTGATAGCACGTATTAACTTTATGTCAATTGAAAACGTTAAATCACCACCCACAGGCTATCTAGCATTTGCATATATATATTCATACACATTATTTGAAATAGTAATAGTCTAATTACTACAGAACTGCTGGTTTGTGCACCGGACATGTTTATATAACTGTTGATCATCATCATGATCGACATGATGCTAAGAGTGTGAAATGTCATTTCTAAAAGCGTTTCAACTCATCAAAGTATAATGAGTCACTATTTTTTTCCTAGATTGATATGGGAAATATTCACTTCATTATTGTACACTACGTGACATTTTACATTGTAGCGCTAGTTTGGGCAAACTCACTAATCCCAGGGTCGAAAATTCGTGATATATTTCTATGATATTCCGTTTTAAATCACACCAGTTGTGTTCCACACGTATTAAATTGTACTGGTCCAAAGTCAGGGATATTCTGTTGAACGGTTGGTTAGAATTCTAAATTACAATACCTTAGCATTTCATCTAACTTTCGATTCGTACTTCAATCATCTAACTCTCAAATCGTAATTTTCAGTGATGGCTAGGTTCGTTATATAGTGAGTAGCAGTGCGTAGATATTGTAAAGAGGGTATGCATCCGAGAGACTTGCCCTGGGCGTGTTCGTTTGATTGCTGTCATCCGTTTTGCGTGGTTTTTGTATGACACTTGAATAATTTGAAACGCGATTGATAAGAAATATGTTTTTATTTGTTGTTGCTGTATTGTTTATTTATTGAATAGAGACATTTTATGTTTTTTGTCATGTAGGTATTGAGATTGCGCGTCAGTTTTTTTGCTGCTTTCACACCTGATATTAAATTTTGACAGCACATGTTCGCTTCTTGTTTATTGTTATGTGTTGCTACACATGTAATGTGCAAAATTATAATATCCACATATATAATATGGTTCCATGATATCAGGAGTGTATCAATACTATATATATAAAATTATATCCTATTATATTATATAGTATACTGCTATATAAAAAAAATTTTAGATATACAATTCGGATCTTGTCATGCTGGAATTGCCTGACACAGAGATATGCATCTCGAAAAGCTCGCTTATTAAAACTTAAACACCCTTAATCTATTATTTGAATTTATTTTTTCTGATCATGGGTGTGTCGTGTGTGATTTTACTTCTGATATATTATATTATATATATACTTATATAGTATATATATATTAAATATATATAAAAGAACGGACAAAGCAGATTGTCCAATCATCAACTGAATACACACACCACACACTATATATATATAATATATTGATTATATATATATACTCCTGAGTTATGAGGTCACATGTTCTGCCTATCATCGTTTAGTATTAGTATTAAAGTTTTAGTTATCTGCTCTATATCTATAGTGTTTCTCAATAATTCGTGGATAGCTGCCTCTGGATTGCTGTGGTTGAGGTGAGTTTCTGTGTACGTAGCGCCCGTGCCACATTATCAAGAGAGAACGAAAAATTCTAATTCATTTTCCAGTTGTATTCTCAAACGTGGCTTGGTGTTGAAGTGTGACTACCTAGTCATGTGGTTGTTTTATTGTGGAAAAACAGTTCCATAAGACGTTGAACTTGAAAATTTTGGCAAGGCGTCTTCAGCTGATGTTCTTTCCAGTGCTATACGCTTACAAGCTTTATACACATCCCAAAATTACACACGCATCACGCACGCATACATGCACGCGACGCTCGTATGCACACTCTCTCCCTCCACACACTCTCTCAAAACACACACACACACACACACACACACACACACGCACACACACACACACACACACACACACACACTAATCTTACTCACAGTGCCTACTTGATAGCCTTCGTTGCCTGGAGTAAGCCAACGTTTCCCTACAATGGGAGATGTCTGAGTCTAGTCTACTTTAATAATGATTATGTCAATGGTAGGGTTAGCTGTAGCTTAGTTAGCATGACTGAGAGTAGTATTGTAACTTGTATTTTCGAGTGCTCGCGAGTATGTTTGAAAAATGGGTCGGCAGATCTAGAAATGTTTGAATTTCTTTCTAGCAGTCTTCATATGCCATAATTTTGAGTTTGCGCAGTACAGTTCTTAAAATTTGAAAATCTCAATAAATTACCAGCTTTATCAGGTGTATCAGGGTAACATTCTCAATGCACTTGTGTAGGATACCAATGCAACAAAAATGTATACGTGGTAAAGCTTTGATCATGTGGAAATAAACACATCGTCTGTCAATTTAACCTAAACATGGTAATATGTTAGTTTTATTAATTGATGCATGTTGGATTTTTTGCATGTTATTTGTTGACAACCATGAAATGCTATTATGTATTTAAAGTGTAAGCTACTCTACTCATCCTCGGCGAATGTGCTTGTTTGCAATTCATATTCTCCATTTTCATTTCCAAAATTTTCTCTGGTTTATTTTTAGCCGGTTTTTCTGCACTATCGTATCAATTATCATCTGTATACAGTATAGTATTCTGTTTATAAAAACTTTCTTCTTGCATATGCAACTTATTTCCCCTCAACCTTCACTCTGCGACTTCACATATCTCTCCATCCGTTTCTGCAAGTTTGTTTGCTTTTATTTCTCACCGCTGTCGTTTGTTGTTACACCCCGCAGGAAGCACGAATCTAAAGTTATGTATGCCGCTGGGGCGAGATCACTATGCATGTGGCGCCACCTCACCAGAGCACCCGCCGCCTCTCTCGTAGAGTCGCTGAGACGCGGCGTGGCGTGTAGCGGCGCGCGGCTAGCGGCGCCGGACGACGACAAAGAAAAGAGCATCCTGCTCGGCACCACGTACCTCCTCCAGCAGGACGGGCTGGAGATCCAGGAAATGCCCGTGAACCTGCGTAAGAAAGCGAGCGTCACCTTCGAATCGTGCGCCGCGGAGGATGCGGCGGCGGCGGAGGCGGCGTCGCCGCGGCAACCAGCGATCGCGCTGCAGCGGGACAGCGGGCTGCGGGCAGAGCTGCGTGCGTGCGCGTCGTTCCGAGAGGTGCAGCTGCTGCTGGAGCTACCCTCGGAGCAGGTGACTCCCGAGGCAGCCGTCTACGTGCTGCAGCGCCTGCTACAGCTGCACCCGCTCAGCGTGCCCGAGAAGGAGCCGTTCACCCAGGGGGCGCTGGTGAGCTACCTCTGCCGCAAGGTGGCGCGCTGCGCGGCGAGTCTCTCCGCCGACGCGCTCGCCGTCGCGCTCCGCACCGGCGCCCTCTATGCGGATGTTCTCGACGACGCGCTCGTCGGCGCCGTCGCCGCGGAAACGACGCGGCGGCTCGCCGACGACGGCGCACGCTACCCGGTCAGCGCCCTCTGTGAGCAGGCGGGCGTGCTCGCGCGGAGCGGCGTGGGGGCGCCACTCGACGCGCTGCTGCGGCGGCTGTGGCTCGAGATTGGGAACCGCTACGAGGAGATCGACGAGGAGAGCGTCGTCGTCGTCATGGCGGCGCTGCGGCACGCGACGCGCGACGAACGCTACCTGCTGCGCCTCGTCGAGCGGCGGCTGCTCGCTTGTTTCTGGAAGCTCGACGCCGACGACGTCGTCGCGGTCGCCGACCTCTCGCGCGACCTAGGACTCGGCCGCGAGCGTTTCCTCGCGGAGCTGTCCCGCTGGCCGCGCGTCTACTTTCACAAGCTCACCGACGCGCGGCTCATGGCGGTCGTTCGCTGCCTCGCGCACTTCGACCACCGCTCGCCGACGCTCGTGAGACCCCTCGAGCGCTACATCGCCGCCCGCGTCGCCCACCAGGTGGAGCAGCTGTCGCCGGAGCTCGTCGCCGCGGCGATGCGCTACTGCGTGGCGTGCCGCGTCGTCTCGGAGCCGCTGTTCGCGGCTGCGGCCCGCTTCGTCGCGCGGCGCGCTAGTGAGATCTCGCCTGCGACCATCGTCGCGATCGCCCGCGCGTACGGCGAGCTCAACCACGTGCCGACGAACGCCGCTGAGCTGTTCGGAGCGCTCGAGTCGATCCTGCACGACGACTTCGCCGCGTTCTCCCCGGCGGACGTCGTCGACTTGTTTGCGTCGTTCGTCTACGTTCGCCGCTACCCGCTGAACTTCACGAAGCGCGTGTTCAACGCGGTGTTCCTCGCGCGGCTGGAGCGGGAGACGGACGCGGCGGCGGCGGCGGCGGCGTGGGTGAAGCTGAGAGCGCTGGACGCCGCGCTCACGCTCGAGTGCAGGGGGCGCCACCGCGGCCCGCTGCTGCCGGCCGACCGCTCAGCGAAGAGCCTCGCGACGGACGCGCGGCTGGCGCGGGCTCGCCGTCACCTCGTGCGTCCGCTCGCCGACCTTCTCGGCGGGACAGAGTTCTTCGAGGATTCGGTCGTCGTCGCCGGCGTGCCGCTGCTCGCCGCGTACGTGCTAGATTTCGAGGTGCGGCTGAACGGGCGTGGCGAGGTGGTTGCGTACCGAGGGGGCGCCGGCGTAGTGACGCGTCGCGCCGTGCTCATACACCCGCCCGAGCACTACACGCACGGCGGGAAGATGCTGATGGGCGAACAAGCGATGCGGGTGCGCCACCTGTCGCTGCTCGGCTACCAGGTGGCGCAACTGCAGCTGTCGAAGATCGACGCGCTGAGGCAGAAGCCGAGGCAGGAGCTGATGGAATACCTGCGTGCGAACGTGTTTCCCGGCGAGGAGTCAAACTCTAGGTGGCGCTGATTGTACCGCCTGTTCGTTTGTTGGCATTCAGTGGGTAAATGCTAGACTATTAAATAATATTAATTATACTAATAATAAATGATAAATTTTATGCGGGGTTGTTGCAACCCTATTATACCCAGGTTTGCAAATGTTAGCTGGTGGCGCCATCTTGCGGTCATACATCAATAGACATGTGAATAACAATACACATGTATTCACACAACGTAGGCTAGGTAATTATGGTAAAATATCAGTGTTGTAGGTCTCGAGGCCGGTCTTGGCCTCGAGACCGGCCTCGAGATCTTTTTCCTTGTTCTCGGTCTCGGTCTTGGCCTCGGAGTGCAATGACTCGGACTCGTAACGTTTTCAATGGCTCGATTAAGATTCTTGTCCCTTTGCGCTTTTTCGACCACTTCTTTCTCTTCTTCTACCACTTCGAATGTACTATCACTCTCTCATTTGGTTCAACAAGCCGTGTCATTCTCGTAAAACACAAATGGATTCGTTACTTTGACACGTTTCGTATGACTCGTGTCTCTGTGTTTTCGGCTGACTATACACTTTCGAATGTCTACGATGCACTGTTGCGATTTTTTCCCTTTTTTCCCCTTTTTCCCGATTTTTTCCCTTTTTTCCCTTTTTCCCCGATTTTTTTCCTTTTTCCGATTTTTTTCCTTTTTTTAATCAAAACTGGACTCGGACTCGGACTCGGAGGGGGGGTTCGGACTCGACTACAACACTGTAAAATATACGGCTGGAAGTTTTCCAGCTTGCCAAAGACAAATTGCACGATTACTGTGATGAAAAACTGCTCACATGGTCTTTGTTTATGTTTTATAGAGTCATCTTTCATATAGATGATGCCACTAAACCGTGGATAAATATTTGCAATAAAAACTGGGCGTTGATGTGTGATAATTTTTTGTCGTAAAGCTGGTGTGTTATTTTATCAAATTAATCGGCCAATAATTAGTTCATTGCTAATCACTACGATTGCTGTTACGTAATTAGCTGCGTGATCATACGTCTGTATTTTGTTTGCGTAATGAATCTAATGTTATGAATCGCATGTCACCAGCTTACACCTATACGTAACAAGTTACTATTCGCTAAAATATATCCAAAATTCCGACGCTGACCTGTGATCATCGCCTCGCGCATGATGACAATAAAAGATAATCTGATGCTATTAATCTCAGCGAGTACTATAACTTGCTTGCGAATCTTGCGCATTGTGCGATCGCAAACTCGACTGACGAGTTTTTCTCGCATGATATCTTTCTATAGAGACGTGGAAAGGCCGTCTGTGCAATCATCCGTCACAGCTGGCTACCTGCAGTCGTATCATCTGTATGTAGGATGCCTACCGGGCCATGTTAACCGTGTTACCTGTACTTGCGTCTACATTAGTACGGCCGTGTTGCGTATGTAGGCGCGTAGTGTCTCTCGTCAGCTGCCTTTCTCTGTGCGCAGTGTTTTTTCGGCTCTCTATCTCTCTTGCGATTGTTTTATAGTGTTTTGTTTTAACGTAACCGTTTATCGCGCGATCTCTCTCTACTCGCTCTCTCTCTCTCTCTCTCTCTCTCTCTCGCGCTCTCTCTTTCGCGCGCTCTCTCTCTCCTCTCGCTCTCTCTCTCTCTCTCTCTCTCTCTCTCTCCTCTCGCGCTCTCTCTTTCGCGCTCTCTCTTTCTCTTCCTATATCTCTTTCTCTTCCTAGTTCTCTCTCTCTTTTGTTCGCCCTTTCCCTACATGTCTATCTTCGACTCTCTCTCTCTCTCTTTCTTTTCCCTATCCCACTCACTTTCTCACACTCTACCGCTAATTACTCGGCGTGTCGACAGCATCGCCACCAGCAGCAGAACAGCGCGCGTGCATCGCGTCTGCACGAATGACGTACACACACAGATCTAGACGTCAACGCTAGTGATGGACAGACGAGCATCGCATTCGTGTTCTTTCCGCGTTGATGTGTGTGCATAGCAGCAGCAGCAGCCGCCGCCGCGTGCACTTGACCGAAGCGAGAGACCGAGAGGTGGGTGGCGTTCAAAGGCGTGTGTGCGAGTGAGGGAGAAGTGGCACACACACACACACACACACAACATGCTGAGCGTCGCTGTAGCGTAGACGTGCGAAGTGGAACGGGAGCTTCCGCGACTCTTCGCGTAGTCGAGTGAAAGTCATGCAGAGACAGGAGGAGCTGCACAGACCGTGGCAGTCGGCTGGAGGAGTAGCCACGGACTCGCGTGGGAGCAGTGCCAACCGCAAGGTAAAATTTATTGTGATAGTGTATCGTGGGCGGGTAGAGTATGAGCGCTTGAGATTGTCGCGCTCGCGGTCGTCATGTGAAACTCGATCGCTGGCCGCCGTCATTTCGAACCTGTTTGAAATTCACCGCTCGGCGCGTCGCATGATTGTTGTCATCGTCGCTAAATGATTTTAAATGTGCTTATAGGCAACTCGTCGTGCCCTTGGCTTTTTTCGGGCACCTGGCCTAATTATTCTAACCTCTAGAAACATAGCCCGCAGTGTCGCCAAGATTAAAACAGTTTCTATGGAAACCGCGGCAATAAAGCGCCACGAGCGAAATAGTTTGTGCGTGAACGTTAGGGAAGAACTCACGAGAAAATACGCCGATACGGTGGTTTTTATGACCTTTTTGATTGACACGTACGTGGCAAATGGTGATGAAGTTCCCGCGAATGACGTTTATTTGTTGACTTCGAATTTTTTTTTTCGCGCTCAAGCTGCCGTCGTTGCGATATGTGTCGGTATGTGTGTAGCCTTGTAAACCACGCTGATAGCGACAATATTACGCTCAACTATGAATATGATAATTCAACCATGAACTTATCATGAGTATGTTATATTAGAATCTGTTATTGCAACTTATCATGAGGGAATATAAATTTGTTTTTGAACAAAATAGTTTTTACGGTAAACACGTTGTTGAATAATACAATTTGTTTTCATTCACTCCTGGTAGTATATAGCAAGAAGTATTGCCATCTAAATTCATTTAAACAAAAGCACATTTTTGATTTTATCACACACGCGGACGCAGCACACATACATGCACACGCGCGGGCGCCCACAAACACACACACACACACACACACACACACCTGCGCGCAATCATTGAACCGGGAACCAAGATCATAAAATGGCGTAACGGCGTGTGTACTCTCCGTAAACACTTAGAAAGGGATTAACGCGTTTTAACACCATACTTCAGACATTGTCTTGTAGGCTCAATTGATTATAGCGTTGTGTATACCGGCTCATAGCCACTGCAGTCACGCATTTTACCTTCGTAATGCCTTTATCCCTCTCTCGCAATCTCTCTCTCTCTCTCACGTTTTTTTAGATATGTTAAGCATGCAGGCAAATAACAGAACAGTGTTAGATGGATTTCCTTAATTTTTAAACTAAAAATTCCATTTACGATGACTAATTACATTGGCGAGAACTGGTTTTGGCTGCGTGCCATCCGATATTTTCATAGCTCGCTGTGCTATGCGAGGTATTTCAGCTTTCATTAGAGATCGCCACGAAAAGCCTGATTTCTCCGCATTCGAATAATTTATGACGCTGGACGACGGATGACTGCCGTACCGTTCGAGAGCTTTACGAAACCAGCTTATTTCGACACAACTTCGTAAATGGCAAACAAATAGATTTAGAATCCGGTTTGAACGCGCGATCATCGCCCGACCCTGAGTGGCAGAAGTCTCTCGTCGCGCGTAAAAAACGAGGGGCGCAGCGCGCGTATCGCAGGGTATCGGTAGAACTTATGGGACTGGTATAACTGCGAGGAGTGGACGAACAGACAGACAGGCAGTTTGGCTGACAGTCCAGTTTTCAGTTCGCTTAACGCCGAAGCGCCGTCTAATGGCTTTATTATGAACAGGCAGGCCGACCAAACTCATCCTCACCAGTCAGTTCGCATGCATCCGGTAGAGCAGTTCGGTTTTGAAGCTTCGTATTGGGACGTGTAGTCGGCGAGGTGAGATAGAATTCTTCTGGCACTTTCGATAATTTTATGAGGTGCCCGAGCGTATCGATTCATTACGAAGGTGCTAAATCCGCTTCGCTCTCTCTCATTTAGTGGTTCCGTTAGTAATTGCAAGTGTATGCGTAGCTCTAGTACTGTAGTCCGTCGCTCTGTCGCAGGGAGTCGGAGCGAGGGGCTATAGTAATAGTGCTAGGTGTATGCGTTAAAGAATGAACATATCAGAAGTGTAAATCGAAATTCGTTTTTAAGAATACCTGAACATATCTATACATTTTATTCACTTGTATAGGATACGTTGTATAGGCGTGTTCACGATTATAGTGGAATCGATAAATGCGGATTTGTACGTGTCTGGGTTGCGCGGTAGGCTGCCGAGTGAGAAGTTGTAGCCGGTGGCGGGATATGGGAATATAGCAATACAAGCGACGTCATAGGCCACTCCCGCTCCCGGGCGCGCCCTTTTTTCGCTGAACCATTCCGGTGGCGAATCGCTTACCTAAATTTGCGGCGAAAATGCGATCGCGGGAGGCCCTAGCAAAGCTTTGTCGTCGACTGAATGATTGTTGAAAGAAAGTGACAGGCGCGCGAAAAGGTAACCATGAGACGAAACCAGTTGTCGAGCGGGGCGCGCGCGCGCGTGCGTGCATGCTACTGTCCACCTATATACTAGCTTCCCGTCCACATTGCAGACGGCGTCGCGGGATGGCCTAGGCAACGACGCTCGCACGTTCGGCGGCTCTGTGCTCGTGAGTGCGCTGATGCGACAACGAGACAGCGTAGTCTCGCGCGACAAGGCGACCCGCTTCGCACAGAAGCTACTCGCGCTCGGTCACATCCGCAGCACGAGCGGCAGCGCGACGTTCCGAGACTCCGGCAAGGCACGCTACGTGTGGACGGACGAGAGCGTCGTCTGCGACGCACGCCGACGCGTGAAGATGATGGCCGGCGCGAAACCGTCGCCGCCGACGCGGTTGTCGGCCGACGAACTCGATCCGTCGCCGACGAATCTCATCGAAGACACGATCATCGAGTTTCAGGATCGATTTCTGGCGCTCTATCATCCGCAGCAGCAGCGGCAGGAGAGAGCTAGCACGAGCGCCAGTTACTACACCGATACGCACCCGGGTAGTCTTGACGGAGAGATGGTAGACGCCCGCGAGACGAGAGACTCGAATGGCGGATACGCGAGACACAGCTACGACGGCGTCATCTCGTCCGTGGATCGGCACCCGAAGAAAGCACCGTACGATACTCTCCCCGCGAAGAGCAAGAAGCAACGAGGAGGAGGAGGAGGAGGAGGAGGTCACCAAAACGGGCACGACGAGCGACATGTGCAGGAGCTCCGCGTCGCCGATCAGCAGAGAGACTCGAAGCTGCTCGAGACGATGACGTCGATGAATCGTGACGTCGTCAGCAACTACGAGGCGAAGATCAACGACTTGATGGCGAAGATGAACGAATTAAAGTGCATAGCTGAGATCCTGGAGAGATCGGCGCAGTTCAAAGAGCTTGGCAATGGCAACGGCGCTCAGATGGTTATGTGTGAGGATAACTCATACTCGGCGCGAACGCAAGGTGAGTACGTGTAATTAAGTATGACTACTTGTATATACTTTTTCTGTACTATTCCACGTGCGTGTACGTGGGTACGTAGGTGCTTGCGCGCGTGTCTTTCGGCGTTCGTGCGTGTGTGACCGCATACGTTTGTCTGTGTTTGTTTTTCTAAGAATTTCTGGGAAGAATCGGAAATAAAGAAAGATCTCGAAATGTCTTGATCATACTATTTTTTTCTTTAAAATGACTATAAATTTGCATATACACCACGGTTCTAAGAGGGGTCTTCTTAGTTTAATATATGCAGTCAAACTTGTGCTAGCTGTCACCTAGCCTCAAAGAACGGACACATATCTATAAGACACCTTTGGGCTTTCCTCGAGTGGGATGTGCGGTAAAACTCCATATGAAGGTTATCTGTCTATAAAGACAAATTGGAATTTTCCCTCGAGTGACCCTGACATGCATGTTTTGACTGTATACGTGTTTCTAAGATTGATTACCTGAGACCTTAGAGTATAAGTATAGTGTATATACTCTGTATAGCGTGTAACTTCAGTAGCGGTATTCTATGCTCTATAGTGTTTCGTTGATGTGCGCGTTGGGCAAGTAGATTATTAACGACAATTAACCGCGATCGTTTAAGAAACACGCGTCGCGCCACTCTCGTGAATTGACTTGTCCGATTATTCCGATCCCGCTTCTCTTTAGTCTCACAATAGAGATCGCTGTCGCATCGGCGAGTTTTTCTTTTACTTTAAAACGCGAGTCGAGCGCGAGCATGTTTTTCCGTGCCCAGTACAAGCTAGAAGAAGGGGGGGAGTTCGGTACCGATTGGGTCGCCACACAAACCTGTCCCAGCTGCCCCGCGGCATTTCTACAGCTCTACAGCCCCACGAATTCCTCGCATTCCGTACGCACAGTGTCTCGTGGACCGCTCGGGAAGGAGCAATTAATCTAATAACAGCTTGTGCGATTGCCTCGTGACATATGACGATCCCATGGGGGGCGTAATTACACAGATTCCGCTTGTTGCCTTCCCTTTCCTCTCGTGCGGGCTCTATCGGCGAAACCTTCCCGGGACAGTTCAAGGTGGCCGAGATACACCCGGTCTCTAATTTCGGCATAACTTCGTGTCGAAAATCTGTCGCTCTCTCGTCTGATGCAGGCATTGTCGGTGCTAACAGGCGCGTTCGCGTTGCCCCTTGCAGATCTCACGGATAAGAGCAGACTCGACCCTCCCGTCGTCAAGCCGCCACGGACGGGTAAATCGAAGCCGCGCAAGGACAAGGAGAGTCGTGGCGACGTCGTCGGCAGCAGGCGCGTCGCTAGAGACGCCCAGCGGCTCGCCGACGACTCGCTCGTCGACCGGATGGCTGAGCGACCGACGGAGATGTCGCCAGTGTTGCAGTCGGAAAGCAGTCTCCGCAAGCCGATAGTGTCGCCAAACGTGAAAATGCGGCCTTTGTTCTGGAGTAGAATCCTTTTAGCCGAAGGTACGGGGGTTTGCGCGCTCGCTCACTTAGAATAAACTAGTGGGAGGAGGGGGTGGGGGAGTGATGGATGACCGAATGAGTGGATGCAGACTGCTAAGTATCACATTTCGAGGGTTGCAATAAAGTTAGCTGAAAGAAGGATACGTTTCTGAAGTGCGAATTATATATGGCACCTTCTTCCCCTAGGTGTACGGAGCTAAATATGGCGGTGTCCGGCACCACGTGTCCGACCTCAATTGTGGCAACGAGGATATAAACGTGCATGTCGAATTTAACTAGGCGTGTTTTACATATTTGTCACAGTTAAAATCCACTCAACATTTACACGCGAATATTGTCACAGAATGCTACATGGCAATTCAAATATCAAACTCCACTTTCGTGCATATAATACGCATATAGTCGCCTTGTGATTGTAATTGGGCATTGCTGGTGAAAGCCTAGATACAATAATGTAACCCAAACCCAGGATAGGGTCCCCCAGGATAGGGTCCCCCAACCCCATATCCTGGGTTTGGGTTACATTATTGTATCTAGTGAAAGCCACAAGATGACCAGGTAAATTTCCTCACATAGCTTATACTATTGCGTTTCTTCTTAGCTGTATAACTGTTCGTGTGCACGTGGATGTGTGCAAATAATTATATGCCATGAAATTTACGCTTTGCGTATTCATCGGGAAACTTTACAATAGCATTAAACTCAATTGCAAATAGAGCGAGAAAAGCTCAGAAAGACGAAACCGTAAAACTAACGCACGGCTTTTACAGTATACTGCCCATATATACGCTGACCCGTTATAAATTAAAAATCCGCCTGCGTACCATAAAAACCACGACCCCGTGTGCGGTTACTGACCACAGCGCGCCCTTTTATATATGAGATGCGTATCTTTGTAATAGTTCACCTGGTCCCTATTCATATATATATTAGTGTACTTTATCTGACCATCTTATCACATCCACCCCACGAAGCTCGGCACGCATCCGTGGATTCTCTTGAATGGACGACGTACTCTACGTCCGCGTAATTAAAATAAACGTTGCTTTGTGTTTGGATGAAATATATGCTGTGGTGACGGCGACTAATGATTGCAGTCGACCCCCGTGCTCGTTATTTTACCTGACGGTGAGATGAGGGACGAATAATTGCGATAGAAGACTCGCAGACAAGGCGCGCGGAAAACTGTTTGCATATATACTCGCCTATTACGCTTCGTTAGTGAATGACTGATGCGTGTTCTGAATAACGAACGTATGAACACGGTTGTGTTTCGTGGGTGCAATGCTCGGTTGTTGCCAGGGGTAACCGGCTACAAAAACTCGGATGCCCGGTAAAAATAACAAGTGTCTGACTTTCTCGAGCACGGAATTATGGGGAAAGCGGCATTCTGAATTAGGATGACGCGCCCTACATTGCAATACCATCTGGTATTCTCATGCTACCCTAGCGGGACATTTTCTAATAACAAATGGAATCATTTCTGACGTTACTGCTTTGATGTTTTCACACAATTGATGTTAAATAGTGCGCAAGATAACGATAGCATGCAATGATTAACATAGATAGCAATCTTCTGTTAGCTGATATATAACTTTTCCTACAATACCTTTCCTAATTTTGATCATGTATTTTTCAGGTTCCACATCTGATACATTTTGGCACTCGGCAAAAGAACTACCTTTTGACATTGCCGAATTCGAAAGGTAAGTAAATACTCTTTGTTTACTTATATTGTAATCTATAGCCCCTTACCGTAAGAAGCTATGGCGTGCTAAACCTCCGACAATATCGCAACACCAGCGATTGGCTGCGAAACAATCATTTCATCGTATCAAAATGTCAAACACACCTCCTGATTGCTATTATCGGAGTGGCTGAGTGGCAAAAACTTGATCAACACGCTGACCAAAAGTTGAGAAAATAGAACATGTTCTAATCTCTCAACTAGTTGCTATCAACTTGATGAGCGCTCAAATTTTACGTGTACATTGCCGACTAGTCGATTAGTTATTTAGTCGATTGGTCGATTAGTTGAAAAGTTGGTAAACTCGTCAACTTTTCAACAGAAGTGTAAACGCAGCTAGTGTCATATCATCATGAGTGTATAATTACAAATATTCATAATGAATATGTCAAATATCATATGAAATTCTCAAATATTCATAAATCAAATATTCAAAATGTCGCAATAACATTTGTCATTATACACTCCTAATATCATTAGACAAATCGCACCGTAGATAGTGTGTGTCTCCGCTGCACACGGGCGGGCCTTTAATGAGACACACTATAGCGATGTCCCGGCCTTGACAGCACGACTAATTTCCCCTCACGGTAATCACTATGCTACAATCCACGGTCGCTTACCACCGACCAGACCGACCGCTAATCACCATGCGACCACCGTCACCCGCCCCCCCGTAGATGTCACACGTACACTGCGTAGTTATGGATGCACGCTGAAAGCTTTCCGCACCACTACACCAGACAAGCGGTCACGGATCCCACAGCGACAGCGTAATTGTCACCGCTTGTGTCATACGATTATTGGTAGTGGCAATGCGTTAAATTGTTAGTGGCGAGGGACAGCGGTAAAGCAAGAGTGCATTCCATGCTGGAATCCAGCCCGCCCCCATCTCCCCCCATCCAGAATATCCGCGTAATTAGAGAGGCACTGAGGAAAATTATCACCGCTTGTGTCTTTACGTTTATCCGTAGTGGTATAGCGTTAAGATCGCTGCCGAATCCGACCCCATCCCCGACCCCATGTATATCCGCGTGATGAAAAATAATCGTGGCCCTGGGACAACCACTATTTCGCCAGTCCGTTTACTGGTTGAAAAAGATATTTTCTTTTAAATCTGCGCGACGGTGTCACACTCGCATAATTATGTAGGTGAACGAACAGGTGTAGAAGGAAATGATCTCAGAAAGAAACGGAAATGATTGAAACGGTTCCTAACGTTAATGTTAGGATAGCGCTTAAATCAAGATGTAATCGAAGTACTGTAATTAATTGAGAATTGGAAATCGTGGATTAAACCTGTCCTGCGCGCGGCTATATAAACAGGTGATTTCCATGAGAAATACATGAGAAAGCGAGAGATAACTAAAGACAGAGAGAAAGAAGGGGAGCGAGCGAGAGAGAGGGCGACGGGAGAGCGCGAGTGTGGAATGAAGAGAGAAGGGGCTGAGAGAGACAGAGGTGCGATGAGAGCGGGAGAGGGTAATGCAAATGAGGGTAGAGGAGCGGATGCGAAGATCTCATAATTTACAGTCTATTTCCCTCTTACGTTTTCGTGGCGTCAAACACATTTATATTTTCCAATGAATAGTAAGGCACAGTTTAAACACTTAGTACTGTACATACGCCACAAACTCGCGCGCGCGCACACAGGCACGCAGACACACACACACACGCACACACATACACACACAACACACAACACGCGCAGACACACACACACACATACACACGCACGTGCGCACGCACGCACACACACGCGCACGCACGCACGCACGCATGCACGCACACAAACACACTTCAATCACTCGCTCATCCTGCCGGAAAGTGACACTTATACGCTTTAGCATATTACATTAAATATATAAGTGCATTAATTTTGCCCTCGTTGCGATTTAGTTTTACAGTGTTGTTATGACTAATGGAAAGCTGTTGAGAATGAAAGAATATAATTATCAGCTATAGAATTTTCGGCACTGGCAGTGTGGATCTGCTCTGTTATTTTCTAATAATCGATGCTTAACAAACACTACGCTGCTGTTCGCGAACAAAATCCCATTCTACGGTCCGTCAGTCCTTTGCCACGCCAGTCCTTCGTCACGTTCTGATCGATTCCGCCCCTTACAGGATGCGTGTGCCTATGTACTGTAAAACTGGTTTCTGCTGTCTGCGTTTGGATCCTCGGGGAATCTAGTACGGAAACAAAAACATTATTCGATTTGGTTAGATATATGAATAGACGTGTTATGAGTAATTTCACAAGCGTTGATTATTTATTTATTTGTCACCTGTTATTGTTTCGTATACTTGCCGTGCAACAATAACATATAACACTGAGAGTTGCATGTAAACTCGGTGTAATATAACACAGGCATAGTTTACCTGTATATATAAATAAGGGCAACGTCTTTACGTACATTGAAACATGTGGGGCCAAGCCTCCTACGTCAATAATGGTCGAAAAGGCGATCATCTTTAGAATTCGACACCATACATCCTCGACCAGTTATTTTACTTGTCTAACTGTCTGTCCAATTCTCCGCCGGTCTGTCTATATGTCGAAACGATAAAGAGACTAAATGTACCTTAAAAATGTTGGTTTTTAGTTTATTGAATTGTCAGTTATAAAAAGCGTCAGGATGTGAGTATAGGCTGGTGACGTTGATATGCCTTTTCTGGGTTTATGTTGCCTAATCTCCAGCTACCACCCAGATGCCTTGAAACCGAACTAACACACGTACGAACTAAAACGCCCCTGAAATGCATTAACCTGCTCATTCCTTCATCTGCCCCACAGTTTAGCTGTCTCTCTGTCCGTCTACCTGTCATTCCTGCCCCCTAATATTTCAGCAGAGACTACTGTCCGGGGGATATGTATGAGAAAACACTCCCACGGGCGTCGTTTCCGTGCGGGTGGCGTCTAACACTCGCTTACTGATAACCGTCCGCTTCTGTTAGCTTGCAGACGCTTTACGAGATACGAGCGACTGAAGATGAAATTGACCGAATAAAGGAGCAAGTCATGGGAGGCCAGTACTCTGGTGAGTGAGCCGCATTCTATGTACGTACAGTCGTTGGCGTGAGAGACGCATACACGCCGAGCGTCGGTCAGATCCGACCATCAGATAGCGCGCCGTGACGGCTGGTTGTCGGCCCGGTAGGGTATGGAATCGCCGACAACAATATTAATCTTCGTCTTTAAAACTTGAGACGCCGAGTGTCGTAGTAGAGATAAGCTGAAATAGGCCATCGCTCAGTGTATAACAGCGGGATATCTTCCACTCCTTCCTTCTGAAACTCCGTAGTAATAATGTTGGCCTCCCAGGGCTGCGCGGGCGTGATGGTGAACCCCTCGTGAGGGTGCGCGGACGTGATGGTGACACACACACACATATATATATATATATATAATTCGCTTTTAACGTCACCTTGTTGAAAAATACTTGCTTTTATATATATATATATATATATAATTCGCTTTTAACGTCACCTTGTTGAAAAATACTTGCTTTTATCGTTTCAAGTGCTAGATAGGATATAATGATTGGTGGCGCTTGAATGGTCCTGTAAGGCTATATCCAAGCAACACAAACGTTGCTATTTCTTGATAAAACACACGCGCGTAAGCAAAGAAGCTACACGGCTTTCGCAGCGTATAAAGCTCGGTGTTTTGAGTGATAGTATCAGGATAGTATGAACATGTGTATACTCTGTACCCATGTTCACCGTTATAGACTATGTGGGTTGTCCGAACACAGTTTTACCCACCATATAGTTGAATTTTTGACCGGATTTTTATCACGCGATCTCACCTAAGCTGTGTCGGCGGTAATCGAGCAAGAAGATGGTTGATCGTTTGACAAAGTACGTATCGACGCGATTTTCCATATCGGTAGGTTTGTCAAAGAATGGAGACCGTCTGTAAAACTACCGATCCCTTTTTGTTTAGTGCAATGTCAGACAAAAACTTTTACTGAACAGATAAGAGCGAAACTCGTGCAAGGATTTTGCATTCACTTACACACATTGGTTTCCTCAAAGAGACATGCTAAAGAAGATGAATGCTAAGCCCATAATGTAGTGGCGAGCTTAGCGTCTAATAACCTGTTTCATTGACCACGACTAATCCACTGCCTTCGATTGTGTCCGTGCAACACTCGACTCAGTGGAGAGCAATGTTCGACCTGCGACATTCATGACAAGTGCTCTTATAGTTATAGGTACTCTAGACGCACTATGAGAAACGGCGAAGTGTTTGAGTAAAAACAGAAATGAACGAATTGTTTAACCATTTAGGAGGGTTTATTTTCATTGTGTGCTATTTTGTTGTTCATGCATGTCTACGCTACAGCGTGGCAATCAGCCATATTCCTTGGGTATTGAAGTCGCTCGACTTGTTTAAAAAGATGAACTGATTAAATACTTGATTCCGTAAACAATATCGACGTTCGTTTTTATATTCTTGAGAGCGTATAATTATAAGGCAGACGTGACCCCCGTCTATCGGATATGGCAGTTTCAGTGAACAAACCGCATTTCAGTACTTTCCGGTTGCCATATATATGGCCGACTGTGCTATCCCTAACCAGGATCCCTACGGGTTTTTAGTAGAGGAATCGTCATCAATGGCGATCTTTTACTTCCTATGCTAGGCGATGACCGCACATCGGATTACGACTCGGGGCCAACGTCCTTTCCGTTACGTCACGTCCGCTCCCGCTGTCTTTAGCGCATTAGTCGCCAATCGTACTATACTTGCAATACTTTACTATACGTTACTGTACTTTACAATCGTAAAATACACCGGGAAACATATAACATAACAGCGATTATGTATATGGGTATCTATGGCATAGACTCATATGGATGCACTATACCTGAACGTCTACGCTGCATAAGCGCACAGAAGCGCTTCTAGTATCTAAACCTGCGAGGAGCAAACATGATGAAATGCAGCCCATCGTAATATGCAGTCTCGTGGATGGCCGCGCGGTCGGGTGACTGATATTCCTTCGTGAAGGACATGAAGGCTGTCTACGATAACTATCGCGGCACGGGTGGAGGCGCTCTAATAGTCAGGGGAATACTACGGGGGAGCGCCACCGAGTCGGTTTTCATTCTTCTTGCCGTGTAACACGATACGTACCCGGGGCCACGATGGTTCTACCCCGGGTAATTGATATGTCATCGTATAACTGATTACCATTTGAAAACGTGCCATTTAGACACGTGTGTTTGTCGCGGCAGTGCAAATCGTCAGTAATGGTGTCAACAGAAGTGAACCCCCAATAGATTATCTATATGCGACAATGCGTGTGACATATCGCACTTCTGGGGTTGAGGCTTATATATTAGTCAAAGGAAATAACTCATAAAGCTGTTCCGTATATTCAAGACGTCCCGACTAACAATTAATGATATAGAATCATCACTACTACGTACGTGTACGTGTACGTGTACGTATGCGTATAGTCAATAATATAATCAAATCATGAATAAAATTAATATCAATTAAGCATAATTACGTTCTGTTTTCATAGGTATTTCGGGCGACGTGAGAAGGGTCACAGACGAACTGTTTCTCTTTATGACAGCTACGTGGAGCGAAGCGGCGCGCCTGTCGAGGTAAATTAATTCATGGCAATATGGCGGCTTTGTTATGCAAACCATGCATGTAAAACCGTAGCCGGTGCGCGAGCAAGTTAGGCGAAAGCCGACGCTGCGGGGCGTTGTTTGAAATTTGTAAAAAAGAAGAATTACAACTGAATGTCGACCTAGAAAATGTCCACTCACCCACTTCTACTATCATACACATCACATATCTATATTCATGGTATCATTCGCGTGGTAATGACCTATATATACTGTACGGTACCCAATTAAAAATGTCATTGAACCCTAAAGTCTCATATATGCACGCAGGCAACATTATACATAATATATAGCGTCACATATGGATGCATAACTGTGCGGTTCTTGGAGTAAGGTATCTATATCTGAGAGTAAAGTCTATACGGAGAAATACGGTTAATAATGTAAAGATAAATTAATGTAATGTAGTAATAATGAATAACGGTTTCATTTGATTGAAAGTGCTGACACCACCTGCCTATCAGTATAACGTGTAGTCGCTGTATAGCCTCTAACCCTCTAACGTCGTTCAAGATAGTGGCATCTCATGTGACTTAATATTACATACACTGTCTTTATATCACACGGATAAATTTCGTGTCTCTGACATGCTGTTGGAATTAGAATATTCTCGATTAATGCACCTGTACCTTGATTAATGTACCTGTACCTTGATTAATGTACCCGTACCTTGATTAATGTACCCGTATCTTGATTAATGTACCTGTACCTTAATTAATGCACCTGTACCTTGATTAATGCACCTGTACCTTGATTAATGCACCCGTACCTTGGTTAATGCACCTGTACCTCGATTAATGCACCTGTACCTTGATTAATGCACTCGTACCTTGATTAATGTACCCGTATCTTGACTAATGTACCTGTACCTTAATTAATGTACCTGTTCCTTGATTAATGCACCTGTACTTTGATTAATGTACCCGTACCTTGATTAATGTACCCGTATCTTGATTAATGCACCTGTA